AAGTTTTTATGGTAGTATCCTGCCGAAATTGAAGTTTTTATGGTAGTATTTTGCCGAAATTGAAGTTTTTATGGTAGTATTTTGCCGAAATTGAAGTTTTTATGGTAGTATTCTGCCGAAATTGAAGTTTTTATGGTAATATTTTGCCGAAGTTGAAGTTTCTATGGCAGTATCCTGCCGAGATTGAAGTTTCTATGGTAGTATTCTGCCGAAGTTGAAGTTTTTAATGGTGAAATAGAAGTATGAAGGTCTCCCTACCCAGAGGGATTAAGTACTGCCGCTCTATTGGAGAGGTTCGTGTTGTTATAACTCAAAACGATACACTTACGCGGTGCGAATAGTCCAGGGTGCTGTAATAACTCAATACCATCCGTTTAACGTGAAGTGGAGTAATACTCCGTGTGAATTATAGGACATGTATATTTCCGGGACCGATAACGCAATTGTTTTCAGCGAAGTGAATTGTGAAATATGCTTTTCATATCACGCGTGGAACTCCATTGTTTTCATGTAGATCGTCACTTAGCAATAAATTCCACTAAGGAAATAGTCGTTGAATATTAAGGCTATCAACACGGGGAAATTGTTGTTGGTTTCTGAGCACTTCTGCCCGAATTCGTGTATAAATTTCTATAATAGTTGAGGAATTTGCTCAGCTTAGCTGAGGAAAGCAAACACGTATTCCTCCAACACTGTTGATTGAGCGAAGAAGCAACATGTTTAGCACTAGTAGTAGTAGACTTTTCCACAGTAGTTGTTTTCTCATTACCCCGACAAGTTGTTAGTAGTCTCAATTTATGTGGGAGCGGTAACCTTACGATAGAGTTTATAATTTTCCTACATGTGGCCGTCCTTGCGACACCAGGTTGGACGATTTACGTCACTTCAGCAGGTTGCTCGGTAACAGCGCTGCACGAGAGAATTGCAGGGTGCTTTTCAGTCTATTTGTGGTGCCGACTTATCTTCAACCTCCCCAGCTGGATATATTCTGCCTCAATAAACGGAGTAAGTTGAGGCGACGAAAACAACGACGAAGGATGGGTGAACGCGTGAGCTTGCGATACCGATGATTTTGTTTCTGCTGTGGTGTAGTATGGTGGTTGCGTTGGGAGTGCCCCTACTTGCGAATACTTCTACACGTGAATGCCCTTGATCTTAGGCCTAATATAACAGTAGAGTTCTCTCAGTAGTTGATTGCAGCCTTTCTGACATATATCGAACTTGAATAAACCGATTTCGAAACTCAGAATCAATTCCAGAATCGTTTCTCACACGTATAACACGATGCTGGAATCGATTCTGAATGTCTGAGTTGATTCGATGAACATGGAGTGCATACTCATCTGCAAACTGGCTTGTGACATTTGTCAAACTTGTACGGGAAGTGATGTCGAAAGGGGACAATCGGAGCAATCTGATAATACTACCATGGGCAGAGACTGAGCTTCGCCATAAGTTAGAATGCAATTTAGCCTGGCTCTCATATCCAGTGAATTGAGCAGCAGTTCTAAGTACTGCTTAGTTTATTGGTATTGAGCCGAGTTGGGCAGTGCCGACTACATCAGGGAAGGTGCCCCCCCGGCGAGGGCTCGTTTCAGCTCAAGGCGCGCACTAGGCTGCGTCTCCCATAATTTCAGGACTTTCCTCATCCATCAGATGGTCTCACGATCTGGAAGTTTGAGATAATCTCGTAACAAAGTGAAAGGGCTGAGCCGAGAATCGAACCCGGGACCTCGCGCACCCGAAGCGCGAATCATACCACTAGACCACACAGCCTGATGAGTAAGCGTGTCATGGTAAATGCATAGTACAGTCCCAGGGAGATCCCTCAGGCTCTCATCCTCGCTTGTGTTGAACCTGCTCGTGCTCCTTCGCTAAGCGTTCCCCGAGCTCATTGATTTCAATGAAATTATCCCAGTCGAAGTTCAGTATCACATCCTTCCAAGATATTCACCGTCTGGGCTATTATGACAATCAACATTCACCGACCGCCCTTTGGTGGAGTTGGATTCTTAGCCGATAGATGCGCGCACATTTTCAGATTCGATTCTAAAAAAGTTCAAGTTGGTGAACTCAATAGCAATTCTTCCCTTATAGAAGGCAGCTCGCTTCATTGGAAACCGCCGGACGTAAGTACTCGGATTTCTCAGGGATCAAACTTTAATCGGAGAACCCTCGGGTTGACATTCCGAGACTCGGAATACG